CTGGCGGTACAGAACGCTACGATTCAGACGCGGTCAAATGTTACAACTCCACTGGACCCTCGAAACAATTTTATCAAATTAAAAAGTTTTCTAAATTCATAATACAAGTATTTAGTGTACGGTTTGATTCTTAATTCGAGTCTTCTTTGGTAAGATTGCTTTGTCGAAGATTCAGTACCGAGATCGAGACATTAAGTACATATCTTTTGCTTCAAAACCAAAGAAGTATAATTCGTGAATGTTTCAGTGGAGAAATTGCGTAGAAAAAATTTTTTGTAAGAAATATGTATTCTCGCGTTTCTATTTATAACGTTCTCCGGGGGTTGCGTTTTCCATTTTGCAAAACGACGATGAAAGCGTTGTAAGAACGGAGTTGTTTTGGTCGTTGAGGGCGATCGATCGATCCCCGAAGACGCAAATAAAGCAACATCTGGCAGCGCGTTCGCGATCGCGCGCTTCGAAAGCGATCGACCGGTACGCGCGCCGCTTTGTTGCACGCTTAATGTCGTATCTAATAATGTAGCAAGGCCGTTCTTCTCGATGTACCCATGAATGCTCGCGCTGGTCGTCGTTACGACACACGCTCTGTTGATTTAAATTTTAACAACGCCGCGAACGGACCCTTAACGTCCTCGCGATGCGACGATAAATCAGCCTCGCGGCGCTCGCGATGCCAGCGGAGGAGCTGGCACGCGTTACCCTTTATTGCGCGACCGAGGAAATTGGAAAATTCTCGGGCTGCCCGTCCGGAAGACGCGACTCGACCAAGAAAATTGTGGCTAGATAAATTGCGGAACGTCGCGAAATACGGGCGAGAGACGCCCCTGCGGAATCGAATCGATTTAGATTCGAACGAACGTTACTTAGCCAAATGCCCCAACACCGGATAAAACCGAAAATTTCCGTCCAAATACAAATCTCCAATAATAGATTTGTCAATTTCACTGAACGGAATATTTATATAGAAATTACTCAAATGAACTAAATTACTGCAAAAGTAAAATTTTTATTTTGGAACATTATAAGCTATGTAACCTACAGTTTCTTTCAGTTTATTTATTTTCCTCGACGTCTTAACTTGAGAATTAATTTTTCTGGTATCGTAATGTGTTAACAGATATCAAATAGCAAGATACGCAACCACGAATTTGTGTCGTAAAATATAGTCCCCGTTTCAAGATTGAATTTTTTGTAACGTCAGGTCAGAGACAAAGCCTCGGTATTTAGAGTGATCCTATATGATATTTCTACACCTGCGAGAATCATAAATTGGAACTCGTAGACAGTTGTGTGTGTCACGCGGCTAATCCCGACACGGGTGATCCCAACATTTAGAGCGGGCTGTTTTCCAACAATCTCAGAACAATAAACGCAAACACGAAAATCAGAGATCTCGAGAAGCGATGTACCCTGCAGATGCCAATGGCCTAATCCAGATTACGCTGAATCTTTCTCCACGTAAATAATTTAGATGCACGTTACAGGCCAATAATAATAATAATATTCTGAAAGGATCGAAAGAAAATCTACAAAAAGAGATTTGCAAACCGGAGACTACTCGTAGAGCGTTCGACTATATATAACTCCTCGGCGCTTGTAAATTTCAATCTGTTGAGATTCAGTCGTCTTCTTATGCTATATTATGTACACAAGGTGTCATGATTTAGTATTCCCAGTCGAACCAGTCACACGTTATTAGTTGGTTATACGCCGCCACATCGCTCCGCTTGTCAGACTCACGTGAATGCAGACTCTACCAATCACTTACAAGCACATCTACTTCCAGCGTGCTAACTGCCGACCATAAGTCATCGGGCACTTGCTTGCCTGATTTGGAAAATGCAAATTAAGATACACGCACTGCCTTCTGTAATTATTATTTAGCCAGTTACTGCTTCGAGCAAAATTCATAACGCGTGTGTATTTATTACGCATCGTTACACGTTATGTTTATGGAAGTTACTTATTCTCGATCGAAAGTTTTCTGTTTTCGAAATGTAGGTTCACTAAATTTCTGGTAATAATCCACAAAATATAATTCGATTCACGTTTAAAATCAATGACATTAGATAAATAATTTATTTAAAATCAACCAGCTTATAAAAACAAACAACTGACATCTGCCCCATATCGATCATTTTTACTCTTCTCACCTATGTATTATACAGGGTGAGGCATTTTAAACAGGTCACCTGAATAACTCGCTTGTTTTTGAAGATAGGAGAAAATGCATTAGACCAAACTTATTTGGTATCGGGGGGCTCATAATCTGGTATTACCAATTTTTTTGTAGGTGGAGGCGTCAAGGAGATATGAAGGTCAACTTTGTTTTTTTAAATGGAACAGTATATTTTATTACTTACATTCTGATAGAGTGTTTCAAGGCGAATACAATGACCTATTATTAAGGTCATTCAAGGTCACCCAAAGTCAACTGCAATAGAAAATAAATTGTGTCAGAGTACATTTCGAATACTTGTGTATCACGTGTGTGTATTGCGTGACACGGGTCACAAAAGATAAACAAACATTCAATCACATTGTACGCTTATCCGTATCCTCAAACATTATTGGTAATTTTACTACCGACTAGAGCACAGCTTCGTAACATTTATTCAGTCTAAGTGTTTAGTTTTCTAAAATGCGTTACACGATAGCAGAGAAAGTAGAAATGGTTCTTATTTATGGTGAATGTCATAGAATTATGAGGGAAGCGGTACGTGTGTATAGTGAAAGATTTCCCGATCGTAATAATAGACCTTCACTTTCTGTCTTTACAAACATTATAAAAAAGTTCCAAGAAACTGGAACTGTGGATAACAAAACACGTAATCTTGCCAAACGAGCAACTGATGATGGAAACTCGATAAATATTGTAGCAGCTGTAATACAAGATCCACATGTTAGTACAAGACAACTGGAACGCGAAAGTGGCATCAGTCAACGAAGTATTTTACGAATATTACACATTAACAAATTTCATCCGTTCCACATATCACTTCATCAACAATTAACTGAAAATGATTATACAAAACGTTTACAATTTTGTGAATGGGGCTTACAAAAACTACAAGACGATGAAATGTTCTTGAGTAAATTGTTATTTACCGATGAGGCCACATTTACAAACCATGGAGCAATTAACCGTCACAACATGCACTACTGGTCGGTAGATAATCCACGATGGTTGAGAGAAGTCGACAAACAGAGACCTTGGTCTGTAAACGTCTGGTGCGGTCTTCTTCATAATAAAATAATTGGTCCATATTTTATTGATGGCACGCTAAATAGTAGTAAGTACCTGAGAATCTTAGAAGACGTTTTGCCAGAATTGTTAGAAGACACTTCACTGGACATACGACAATCCATGTGGTTCCAGCAAGACGGATGCCCTGCTCATTCAGCACGCAATGTTACAGAATTTCTAAATAGAAAATTTGGAGATTCTTGGGTAGGTCGATCAGGAAGTAACAAATGGCCGGCACGATCCCCAGACCTGACACCTCTCGATTTTTATTTGTGGGGAAAATTAAAGGCAGAAGTGTACCGCGAAAAACCAACTACCAAACTTGACATGCAAGAACGTATAAGAAGAGCTTGCTCTGTAATAGATACAAATGAAATTTGCCAGGCAGTGTCATCAGTATTGCAACGATTTAGACTATGTATCCATGTTCAAGGTCGCCATTTTGAACACTTGTAATAGCAGTATCAAAGTATCCAAGTGTTCGAAGAGTGCTTTGACACAATTTATTTTCTATTGCAGTTGACTTTGGGTGACCTTGAATGACCTTAATAATAGGTCATTGTATTCGCCTTGAAACACTCTATCAGAATGTAAGTAATAAAATATACTGTTCCATTTAAAAAAACAAAGTTGACCTTCATATCTCCTTGACGCCTCCACCTACAAAAAAATTGGTAATACCAGATTATGAGCCCCCCGATACCAAATAAGTTTGGTCTAATGCATTTTCTCCTATCTTCAAAAACAAGCGAGTTATTCAGGTGACCTGTTTAAAATGCCTCACCCTGTATACAAGCAACTTGAAAGCATTTTAAACAGTACACGCTACGAAAACAATTTATCTATGTAAAGCTTTAAATTCCATCCACCTGAATCTTTAACTATACATTACACTTTTCAATGTCTATGCGTCTTAATTTAATTATACGACGTGAATTCGATTTCACGCTTGGATTTCAATTTCCACACGTTATTACGAGAAATTTCGTCAGTGAACCTTCGTCCGTTGATTAACGGTCGACCTTTACCACGCAGCCGGTAAAAGTTTTATTTGTTGCTCAATATTTCCTGCGTAATGGCGAGAACAACATTCGCATTTGTCATCGGAAGAAATGCAGAGGCGGTTTGATTTATCATTCCAAAGGGGCATACGTCTTGGTTGATCGTGTACGCGAAAGCAAGGGACGATTATTAACTACTACTGGTCATCGCTTTATCGACGCTAGAAAACGTTTCGTTAATTATACGCGTGATTTATCGCGCGTATCGCGCGAACACGTTACTCGAGATGCGCGTCGATAAGATCGATTTCGAGTCGTCGACGGTTTATTAAATCAGGGAAAATGAATTCTGAGGGAAAATAAAAATATTCTTCTTGTCGAATCGATAGTTTCTTTCAACCCAAACGTGGTCCCCGAATATTTACGGAGCGCATTATAAATGTACGACGCGGCCGAGTGGACGAAAGGCGCGCGCCAGAAGCGGAATATTAAGCTAAAACGACCGGAAGTGAGTCAGCGTTACGCGCGTATTACGTCGCGGAATTATGATGTAACAGGGCGAACCGAAACTTGTTTCGGCCTTTGTGTCGCGGATCCTCCGGACGTCCTACTGTTATGAATCTCCTTTAACGACGCCGATTTATCGCGTCGTTAAATTATTCAACGAAACGTCGACCCACGGTATACGCGGCTGTAAAAAATCCGCGATTATACGAACAAGTGTCGCAAAAACAAGGCGAAAGCAACGTTACCTTGCGTGGTCTCGCCGTGGTTGATCGCCGGCGTCGCGTTGCTCGATGTCCGTTCTGAAAACAGAGAGAAAAATGTTCTTCGTTAGTCTCCGTGCGTACATATTTCGCGGCGCGCGAATCGCGATTAAGTCCTTTTCTTACGCGAGCCGAGTTGCATAAGCGAGCATTAATATTGAAATCGTTGACGTAACTGGGAATCGGATCGCGGCACGCCCGATCGAGAATACATTATCGCGCGCCATTTTTATTTCCGAGACGAATCGTTTATATTGGAAACAATATAGGAGATTGGATTGATGGATGCCTCGTGCGTTTTGGAAATATTAAAATTCCCAGAGAAAGTAGAAAACTTTCACAAAACGGTTGACATCGATGGCGATTCAGAGGAGCGCGAAATTTATTCGTCGCGGCTGTCGTGGATCGTCGAATAAATAATAATTAGCGTGAAACCACAGCGGCTTTTTACTACGATTGCTTCACTTTCACGAGGCAACCTGCGACAGACACGAGCCACGACTTTACCGGAAGCAAAGAACCACATTTGAGAAACGAAAATTGTAGAATAAATATTTTCCAATTAATATTGTTAGCCTGGAGAACGGAAACGTAAAATTCGCGATAACCAGCGGCTTCCTCTAATCGATTAGAAAGATTTCTTCTTCGATTCGTTCGAGTTCGCGTAACAGTACTGTCCGCGATAAAGGTCTTAAGCGATTTCAATTACAGTTTATCGCAGCGTGATCGTTTTAACGAACGGTTCCGAGCACCGTTTAGCGTCGATTCGCGTAGCATCGGGTAAAAAAAATGACGGAAATATGCGAGCGACGCCGACCCTGAACTAATGGAGCCCGACCGCTACGTGTTATTAGCGAAGTTCACGGGTCAAAGTTCGAACGATTACTCGCGAGTTTCGCGTATGTCGGTCATGAATGTTTATGTCGGGTGGCCGTGGAACGATTGACCCCGTTGGACAGCCAGGTAGTCAAGAATATTTTCCCAGCGCGCTTCCGCGTTTCGTCACGACTAAATTATTCTCAACGTTCCTCAACACTCTAAAGCTTAGAATTATTTAAACTTATAATAACTTTTTAAAATTTTCTATACTCTCAAGCAGAAAATATATATTTTCCATCGTTCAGAGCCTATATCAAATATTTATCAATACTGAAAATACCGTAAAGTCTCTTTTCTCGTGTAAATGGGCTTCGCAATTCGGGGACCGGAAGTTCTCGGTTACCGCGAGGTCCGTAAACAGCGAGGTTCGCGGTTCGTTCGAGTTTCGCGCGTGACTCAACCCGTCCCGATTCAATTTTTAAACCGACCCGTTCCGTAACCGTGCAGGAAAAAAGCGAAACGGCCGCGGACGCGCATCGACGTCGAAACGCAATCGCGACGCGGCGATGCGCTGGATCAGAAATAGCCGCGCGCGGCCGGTAATAAAAGTTCTCGGAAGACGGACTCGTCGGCTGTCACCAATTACGGAGCCACGTATGGGACGCAATGCCGCGGACCGAAATATTGGGAGTAATTGCTGGACGGGATCGTGTTACGCGGAATCGCGACACGCGAACGCCCCGCCGCAGATTAATGGACGCGAATTCGTACGCCCGTCCATTCTCGACCGGATCGAGATACGAGCAACCGAGGCTTTTAAGATTTTAACGAGAGAAAGATGATTCCCGATGCAAAGCTCGACGCTCTCAAGCGCGTTTCCACGCGGCTGTTTCCTGTGAATAATTGCTACCTTGCGACAAAGTAGATCCGATTTCGATTCGCGTTTCAAATGTTTTTTTATCGGCGATAGAACTGATGCAAGGGAATTTGCAATGGAATCATGAATCTTATGTATAAATAAATTTAAATATCGATAGAGAAAATTAGACGCTGCTCGATAGGTGAAATTTGGAGCGAAAAATGTCAGGGCGAAGAATAGATGGGAAAAATCGTCTTCCTTTGTCAGAACCGAATGACCTTCTCCCGTATAAAAATGAACATTTCCGAGAAAGCGGAAGACCTCGCTCTAATTTCCAATAAACCATGAAAATTCTCGTTCCGCTCGTCGCGTCTGAGCATTGTTTGAAATTGTGACGCGGCTGTCAATACGTGTTTGCCGGAGCCTCGGTTTAATACTCGCGCAAAGCACCCGCCTAGGAAAATGAGATTCTCGATACAGGGGCCAGCCTTATTGCACGTAAAATTCCTAAACTGTTCGACGTTGCGTTACGACCTGCAGAGAACAATACTCGGAACTAGGATGAAAGAAACACGACGATACAGGGGCTTGCGAAAATTATTTCGAACGTCCTCGCGAATAGAAAAATTTGTAAGTTTGACAAACAAAAAGCAGAGCTATCTAATTAAATGTGAAATGAAAAATATTCACTGTATCGTTCGAAGTCGACGATTGGTGGAAATCTGACTATAAAACAGCGGCTATAAGTACGACTATATTTATGTATGCTTACGTTAGTCCGAAAATTCGCATAGTTAAATACACAAAGAATTGCGAAATAATCTAATATTAAGAACTACGAAGTATGAAATCATATTTGTCTATTTCCACGTTTAAAATACTTATTCCTAGAAATTATTACGGAAGAGTTATATTAAAATTTCATGTGCTTGCTCTTACCATCTTAAAAGCTAATTTCGATTAATAAGTGTTTTTTTTTTAATTTTAATACCGTCAGTATTTCTGCTTTAAATCCTTACGGGAGCAAGAAGTTACAACGTCCGCGTAATTTTGGACGCTTGTTCGAGCAATCGTGCAAGTTTTGACGCCTCGAAGCGTTCCTTAAGAATCTTAAGACTTTAAAGATTTATTAAGACAGTCCAATTCGAGGGTCGTCTTCAAGTGCCCCTAATTTCGCCTAATGGCGCGAACAGTTTCGAAAGTTTCAAGGGAGCGCCTACGAAGCGTTTCCAGGCTGTGGCCGGTCGAGTGGTCCGAATTAAGGCCCATTTTCACAGTTCGACGACGAGAGGCGCGCCTCTGTTCGCCGGATTCTTTCGAACGTTAAGAGGGAGCGCGTGACCGCCGGGGGGGGGGGTGGGGCGAGAAAGAAACCGAGAGGGTAGTATTGATCGCCGAAAACATTCGCTCTCGACGACCGACTTTTTTCCGCAGAAGAGGAACGGGGAGAAGCGAACGAGAAAAAAACGGGCGAGTAACGTGTCGCGATTTTTGCATGCATGCTTCCGCGAGGGGGGGAAAACGGGGGGGAAAAAAGTGTTGGGGACGAGGGTGGCTATCTCGTTAAACGGGGAAGTCGAATTATCTCGTCCCTGGAAAATACCTGCGTAACGAGGATAACGAGATACAATTACACGTGTCCAGAAGACACAAGATATCTCTTTGCTTTTTTGCCTCGTGACAACGCCATATTTTGCGATCTTCTCCTCGGTGTTCTCGCCTGTTACTCCTAATCACAACGACGGATTTTATTTTGCGTAATAAATTGAGACATACGTCTTACTGACTTCCATGTAACAGTATACACAGCATGTTTTTGTACTTTTGCATTTTTGTATGTTTTATATGACTTTTGTACGACTATACAAGAATTTTATAGAAATGTTAAAGAAATATGTTACGTTATGTTATGTAAAACAAATGTACTTACTAATCTCAGATTATATTTTCGGGAAAAATTTTTTTTCTCGAAACTGCGTAAGATTTCGAGGGTATATGTATTCCCCAAAAATGATTATAATTGACCCCCGCAACCGAATATAATTTTTCCGAAACGATTTGAAATTTTTTAATTTTGTCGAAAAATTTCGCACTTTATCGAATTTTTTTCTCGGAAGTGGGTAGGATTTCGAGGGTGTGTCTATTCACCAAAACTGACTGTAATGGACCCTCGCAACCGAAAATAATTTTTCCAGAACGATTAAAAATTTTTTTTTTTCGCCGAACGATTTTTCTTAAGAATTCGCTTCTCATTTTTAATAAATTTGTTTGACACGCTACGGAAATTTTGTCTAGTACTTTTTGGTAGGTAACCATGAGCTCTACTTCAGAAAAAAATTACATTGAAATATATTCACTATTATAGGAGTTATGGCCGTTTGAAAATTGGACCACTTTTATGGGGTTTTCCTTACTTTACGGGGTTAAGGATCAACTTTTCGAATATTTTTAAAATTTCTACATATTCTTCACCAAAATACGCGTCGTTTGCCGTTTGAAACATTAAAATCCTCCAATCCGTTCAGAAGTTATAGCGTTTTAAAGATTTGCATGAAATTTCAGTGAAGTATATCAACGGTATGGTCAGACATCATATTTTCAGTCATTAATTTTTTTCTCGAAAGTGCGTAGGAATTCGGGGGTATGTATAATGATAAAAAGTGATTGGAATTGAGTCCCCCAGCTAAAAATAATTTTTTTAAAACGATTCGTAATTTTTTAATTTTGCCGAAAAATTTCAGCATCTACGCCCTGTCGATTTTCGATTTCTTTGGGCCACGAAAGTTCATAAGGTGTACGACCTATTCGTATACCTCGTCTGTGGTGAGAACTACATCAACAAATTAGTATTCTGGATTTTCAACTTATTTTGGCCTCCAGAATCTCCCATCAAAATGCTTCCCTGATATCGCAACTTTGAATTTGCAATTTTTGATTTCAAATTCGATATCAGCAACCTCAAAGACCCTGGATCAACAAATTTTAGAAAGATCCGACGAAATCTTGAATTTCGACCACGTCTCCGACGCTTTCAACCCGCCGTGGACCGAGGAGCAGTGCTCCGTTCGCGTTTCGTGACGCCATTTTAAGCTCGAGCCGAGTCGCTGGCGGATCTTTATCGCGTCCCACCTCCGTCGACGATCGAGAAATCGGGCGGCGCGCGTAAGGATCGCCGCGCTCGGGGTGGCGCGACGCTCCGTGAGGGTGGCTGGTTTGTATCTCAAGGACACCGTCGGTGACGTAGGCGAAAAAGAGGTGGCGTGCTATTTTAACGCGGGCCGACCCTGGATGATCGATCGACACGAATTTAACGCTTGTCGCAACGGCGTACGGCAGAGAAATATTTCGTGCGCCGCCGCCA